AGCATATCAGCATATTAGACTGATTTCTGAAGGATCATGTGACACTGAAGACTGGAGTAAAATTCAGCTTTGATCACAGGAGTAAATTAAATTTTTTTAATATAGTCTAATAGAAAACAGTTATTTTAAATTGTAATAATATTTCAAAATATTACTGTTTTTGTTGTATTTTGATCAAATAAATGCAGCCTTGATGAGCAGAAGTTCATCAAAAACAAAAAATCTTACTGACCTCAAACATTTGAACATGAGTGTATGTTGTAGAATTTATTGAAGTTGTTCACAAAATTATTTCTAAAAGTAAAACCGGTTAAATCATGTTTAAAAGTATTTTTATGTTAATATAAATATATTATTTTTAATACATAAAATTGATAATGAGAAATATAGATATGTAGGATTGAGTTTTACTGAATTGTTGTTAGTAAATAATAAAAAAGTAGTAAACGCACAAACAAAATTAAGAAATATAAAATTATCTCATTTAATTCAATTAATTTGTGTAGTAAAAATAGACTAACTTGCAAGATTGTGTTGAAAATCTAAGGTACTCTTGCATGAGCGAATCACAGACGTGTAGATATTCAGAAAAACAGCACGATTCACTGTAAATTAATTTTAAAGTTAACTTTAAAAATCTTGCAAACTTAGCCTATTGCCTCTGAAATGGAATTGTTTTTCTCATAATTCTTATCATTTCTATTTCTGTTATACAATGTATTGTAATTATTCTCAGTCTTGAACTGAAGTGAGAACTAAGAACTGTCTGGTAATTGTCTTCTATATTTGCTTTGCTATCTCTTAAATTCACTTGCAGATTCAGGGAGAGTGGCGTGTATGCCAATCAGCGGCAGAATTATTAAGTGCTATTATCGGATCAATCTTTACAAAGACCATTGTGGTGACCCAGCCTGGCATTTCCCGCTTCCTGATGGAGGAGGAGGGTGTCAGCATACTGGGAGAGATGACAGCAAAGTTCGAAGTCTATATCGACATGGCCAGAGTGCACTGGGAGCCGCTAGAAGATGATGTAACGTATCCCAGCCTGGTTGTTTATCCCGACATATCTCATATACTCAGTAATACTTTAGGGTTGATTGTATTTGTGCTTTCCACAGGACATACTGGAGCTGGCATGGAAAATGACAACCTGTCAAAACTTCCAGAGAAGTTCCTCTGCAAATTCCATTCAGGAATTCACTGCTGGAGTCCCGAATGGACGTAACTCAACCGATGCACGTACTTCAGGTCATTATAGATCATTTCCCTGACTGACTCTTTACCGGTCGTTGAATTATAAGTGGGCCGAGACCCTTTAGTTCCACTTATTTTCTGCATGAAATAAAATACAATGATTTAGGGCCCTATGATTTGTGCAATGCGGACGGAATCGCAGAATCCAGCTATAACAATGGAATTTTCTGTATAACGCGGAATTTAAATAATTGGATGAATTAATCAAAAGTAGGTCAGTACACTTAAATCAAATCATGATATGGATGGACTAAAATTTGTAAATATTAAGCCGCAAAAGACTATTTAAATATGAATCCTGCATGTTCTGCGTGTCTCTGTGTGAATGAATGGCGTAGCTGCAGACACGCAGTTCCGTTTACTACACACATACTGAAGTGTGCGACGCTCGCGGTGATTTTAGCGTCTGCCTCCTGAATATACGAGTACATAAATACATGAGCAACATCCCCAGAACTGCTCTGAGAGTCACTTCATGAGCTTTTTACCTTTTAATTTGAGTAAAAATATTGTCACGTCATATACACACTGAAACTTAAAGGTCCCCATGGCAACCCGTCAAAATAAAAGTTTGGATTAACTTGAAGAAATTGTGTCAGAAATATATTACTATTGTCCAGTAGAATGTACGTAACACTACTACTACTAATAATAAAATTAAACTTAATTATTTTAATGAATAATCACACAATATTTCTTCTGTGTTTTAATCTTAATAGTAATCCCCCTTTGATTGCCAAAAATAAGGAGTTTGTTTAACTTTCATTTGATTAGAAGATAAATTAACATGTTATGCTTTCTTTTGATAACCAGAAAAATTAGAATACAACATAGAATTTCTGAAAAAACAAAACCTTTTATAGGGCTATTGTAAAAATATTTTGTAATACATTAAGTTCAGAAAAGTTCAGAAAAATTTAAATGGAAAACATGGAATTTGGAACAAAATAAAACAGGGCCCTAAATACAATGCTATTCTGTTGTTTTTTGTTGAACCCCAATGGTTACTGAATGTTTTCTGTCGCTCAGCTCATATTGAAGAAGCTAAGAAGATCTTGGCAGTCATTGGCAGCGATTTGAACCCCCAACCTTCTAGTTTAGGAGCCACAGACATTGAATCTGTAGATCTGTATTCAGACCAGAGTCGAGATACCTCAGCAGCGGCAGAAGAAGAGGCCGACCAACCCCAATCACTGCAGGCCCATGACCTCCAGAGCTCCTCTGCACCCATGAACGCCTGCAGCCTCGACGAAGACGCAGACTTCTTGGTGGCCATTCAGATGTCAATGGAGCTCAACCAAAGATCGGACGCAGAGGACATCCAGAAAGCTCTAGAACTGTCCAGGAGCGACTCCATGCCAAACCAGGAGAACACGCAGCTGGAGAGAGCGTTTGAAATGTCCTTGCAAGACGCCATCAAGTCAGCTAACAAAGCCGAGATCTGTGTGTTTGCTAACTACAACCATGATCTTGTCAGGGTGGACATCGCATTGGGCAAGAAGGTTGGACTGAGACAGTGTGAGGAGAAGGTCGAGAACAAGAACCTGCGGAAACTCTCCTCCCATCAGAAGAGATGCATAGAGCTCATTAAGAGGAAGCATGCTGTCGAGATCAGCATCCAGGGCACCACCGCCGTTCTCTCTGGCTTTAAAGAGTACGTCTCCGAGGCTGTGATAGACCTAAAGAACGTCCTGAGAAGGACACAGAGCATGATGACGGATGCTGAAATCGTGAAGACCGTACAGTGGGTGTGGGTCGAGCAGGGCTCCTCCTCGAAGGCCATCCCGTACCCGCCGGATGCCACGGTGTTCATTGAGAACGCTTGGAAGATGAAGCAGAAGAAGACTGATATTCTCTTCAACAATCAGCCGTGCAGCATTGACTTCGAGAAGATGGAAGAGCACAGTTTGGCATCCGGGAAATCCGTGCCTATTAAACGGAAAATGCTGAGCACAGAGGACTTGTACACGGATGGTGCAGGTACAAATTAAGCTGAATTACATAAAACTCCCAAAATTATGAAGTCCCCAAAGGGAGACTCCACCGTTTCTGCTGTTGATGCCAGACTTCACTCTCATTATTTTTTTTGTTTAAAAACAGGCAAAATAGTTCTTCATATTAGTTTCCAGACATAACACATACATCTTTTTCAGATGATATACACATGATATGCCAATTAATTATGAATTTAGGAATATGTGATGTAATTACGTCGTTGATTATGTCATGTTGATTACACGATATTCTGATTAATTAGTCAAATTAATCACAATTATTTGCTTAAATCCATATTTGCTGGGAAAATCTCTCAAATTAAAATAATTTAAGAATATGAAAGTATTTAATAATTTAGATTTTTTTTGAATGATTTAGTTTTGTTAGTTGTATTTAAAAAACCAATCAATCAGTCAATCAATCAATCTTTAGTTTTGTCAGTTGATAAAAAAATGTAATTGAATTAATTGTCAATGATATGTCAGTTAATTAGTCAAATTGTTAACAATAAACTGCATAATTCAATATGTGTTGAGAAAAAACGTCAAATTCAAAAAATAACTTAGGAATTGGGGATTATTGAGCCAGCCAAAGGAAATTACTAAAATATATATTATGACTTTAATATATTAAAATCTATATATTATTTGTTTTATCTTAGTATCTGGCCTACAGTCTGTATGTCATGGGACGCAATGTCAAGTTAGAAGTTGAAAAACGTGTCTTGAAACCTCCTTATTCATTAGTATTATTGGTCACACTTTAGTTTGGGGACCAGTTCTCACTATTAACTATCAACTATGACTTTTGCCTTTAATAAACTCCTAATTTGCTGCTTATTAATAGTTAGTAAGGTAGTTGTTAAGTTTAGGAATGGGGTAGGTCAGGATTAAGAATAGGGCATGCAGAATAAGGCATTAATATGTGCTTTATAAGTACTAACACAGCCAATATGCTGGTAATATGCATACTAATAAGCAACTGTTTAATAGTGTGAACTGGTCCCTAAAGTGTTCCTGTATTATCTATGTAGTTTGGTCTGAATGTGATACATCAAGCTTGAATTGCTTTGATTGTACAACAATCTAAAGATGTGGTCACTTTAGTAAAACCAAAAAAGGTTCATTGTCAGTAGTTCAGTGAGGAATGAAGCACAGCTCACACAGAAGTCACTTTCAAACCAAGCAGCTTTCTGTTGGCCAACGTGGTGAATTTACACAACCAACTTTAAAGTCTCCATGAAATCAAAATTAAAGTTTTTTTGGGTCTTAGTATCAATATGTTAGTCTTAAGGTTATCTATAAGGCAGTGTGCTCCAAAACAGTGACAAAATTCGCATTTAGAAGATATAAGCATTCAAAGCTTGCAGTTCGTCACTTCCGACTCAAACTAAATTAAACTATTCAATAAAAACTAATAAAACTGTATAGACGTTAAAAAACAGAAACTAATAAAAATGACAAAAACTCTCAAAACACAAATTACTACAACTTAAAAATTGAAGTAAAAATGGAAAATATAAAAATAGAAATCTATAGTACGGTCAGTGATACTAAAATAACACTGGCTAATTCATTAGTTTTGGGATTTGAAAAACCAAATTCATCTAAATGTGACAAAAATAGTGATGGGAATCTCATATGAATCAGGGCTATTATCGTTAAATCTAAATCTAGAAGCTAAAAAAAAAAAAAAAAAGTTACTTGAATTAACTAAAAAAATCGGCTGTTTCTTATTTTCATTTACTTTAAATGGAAGTAAATATGTAAAAAATAACTAGCATTAATACTTATAACTAAAATAAAAACTATATAGACTCACCAAAAAACAAACAAAAACCCCCCAAAACTAATAAAAATGACAAAACAGCTAAAACTTTAACATAAATTTAAAATAAAACATTAAAATCTAATTCAGAATATTAATAAAAACTATAATAGTACATAAATGACACTGCAGTAACACTGATATGAATTTAAGAATGACAAAAGCATCTTGTCTTTTCTCTGACAGCCACTGTGTACGGTCAGGGCGTGTATTTTGCGGTGAACGGCTCACTGTCCGTGTCTGACACCTACTCTCCACCCAATGCAGACGGGCACAAGTTTATTTTTGTGGCCAGAGTGCTGACCGGAGACTTCACCGTGGGCAAGTACGACTACAAAACCGCCCCGCTGAAGGAGAGCTCTGGCGTTCCTGTCAGATACCACAGCGTGACGGATCAGATCAACTCCCCGACGCTGTTCGTCATCTTCAACGACACACAGGCTTACCCACAGTACCTCATCACATGCAAGAAGATCTACGGCTAATCACATGCTTTCTCATTTATAATGCCACTGCGGCAATCATGTCTAATCATTAAACCGCTCTGGGCTGCGTTTCTCGATAACGATTGATCTTAGGACTTAAGAGCGTTGTCTACGAGTCATTTTACGATCGTTCGTTATTGTTTCACGTGCGTTTCCCAAAAATGCACTTAACGCAATCACACGTAGCCGTGCTTTAAGTGCTACTTAGGAGTCGCTATCCGTTTGTCAAGTGCTGAAATGTCACCTTATAGAATGGCTCGTAATTGTAGTAAACGCTCGTTTATTGAAATGTTAACCTAATGCTGAGTTCCAGA